CCTTTCCGTGGGATTAAATGAGTTAATATGAACTCAGAACAGCGCCTGGCACATAGTAAGCACTCAAGCTGTGTTTGCTGTTCTTCAATAAAGTTGGTGCTTAACAAGTGTTTGGAGGTCTTCTGGCTAGCAGAGGGTGCATACAGGGCCATCAGCAAGGGTGGCAATCAGAGAGATTCTGGAGGACTTCCTGGAGGCAGTGGCCCAGGGGAAAGGATACAGAGCCAGCATCGCTGATGACCTGCAGTACCACGGTGATGGAGGTGCGGGGGTGCAGCGTCCCCAGCACCACCGCTTCACACGTGTTCCTAATCAGCCGCTCCCGGCTCTTCTCCGCTACGCCTGGGGAAATCAGGGGTGGGGTGGGGTGCGGTTGTCAGGCTCTTCCCTTCCATCTGGCTCACCTTCCTCCATACGTCCCACCCAAGCCCTCTGGAAAGGGCCTGCAGTCTCAGCCCAGGTTGGTGCAGGACCCTGCATGGATGACAGAGGATCCCCAGTGGGAAGGGGGCAGGACCTGACTGCCACCCACCCCACCCCTCCCACCCCTCCCACCTCCAGCACTCAATAAGGGAGCCTCCTGGGGGAGAAAAGTCCGAGTTCCCATGCCCTGTGTTGCTGGCCACTCCCATCGCAGCTGGGCCCAATTACCAGGCAGCCCGATCTTCGGCCTCAGGATCACTTCCAGCGTGGCCTTGTTGAAGATCTCTTTGCTGACCTTCACCTCAGCCGGCCCGTACACGCCTGCCAGGACGGAGGTGTCCCCTGGGGAGACAGCATGGGCGGCCTCACTCACATCTTCCCTGCCTCTGGGGCCCAATGTGTGGCACGTAACAGTGTGGGCACTGAGCTGGATGGCTGGGGTTCCCCACATCACCCCCCCTTCAGCCCACTATTTGTTGGTAGTGATTCTTTGAGCACTTGCTTCCCTTCTCTGCCTCTGATTCCTCATCTGTGAAACGGGGATAACAAAAATACCTCCCTCAGTGTTGTGAGGATTAAAGACACCCTGAAGGGTCCAGGTGGGTCCTAACTCCTGCTTATTTCCCCAGAGTGGGAATGAATGGGGGCAAAGACGCTAAGACCTGGGAAATAAATGCTTGGCTTCTCATCCTATCTGCCTCCTACTGGCTCTGTAACCTCAGCTGATTTTGCTCACTTCTCTGGGCCTCTTTTACCATTTGCAAAATGAAGAGTTTGGACTACAACAGTGGCTTCCAAACTTTTCTGACTATAACTTCCAATTTGTTGTTGTTCGTCCCATCTAGGCGATTCCGACTCCTAGCGACCCTATGGACAGCAGAGTGGAATCCTGCCTGGTCTTTCTGCACCATCCTCTCGTCTTTCAGCGCTGTATCAGACAATGCTCTACTGCTGTTCATAGGGTTTTCATGGTCAGTTTTTTCGGAAGTGGGTGGCCAGGTCCTTCTTTGTCTAGTCCTGAAGCTTTGCTGAAACTTGTCCACCATGGGTGACCCTGCTGGTATTTGAAATACTGGTGGCAAAGCTTTCAGCATCACAGCAACACGCAGCCGCCACAGTATGACAACCGTCAGACAGATGGGTGATGTGGTTCCCTGACCAAGAAATGAACCTAGAACACGGGCAGTGAGGGCACCGAATCTTAACCACTAGACCACAATAATTTCCAATAAGAAATACATTTTACAGCGGGTCCCAGAACTCACACAAGTCTGTGTGTAAATGGAACAGAGGGCTCACAAAACACCTCTTATCATTACTGCTTTCATATACTCTGATATTGTCTATTCCACTCCAGATACAAAGAAAGCTGGTCGCAGGCTACTAACACAGTGGTTGTCAACCCTGGCTGCATGCCGGAATCACTGTGGGGCCTGAAAAGATACCGATGCCCAGGCCGCTCCCCCAGAGATCCGAATTCACTTGCTCAGGGGTGGGGTTCAGGCACTGGAAGTGTCAGGGGTCATTCTAATCTGCAGCTGGGCCTGCAATCTGCAGCTCGGGCACAGCTTCAAAACACTGGCCTGCAATGAGAATCACTGTAGCAGTTAAAAATGTAGCGGGCGAGCCTCAGTAGGCATCGGGTGGGTGCCGGGGTGCTGCACTTTTAACAACCTCACCAGAGATTCTGAGGCTGGAAGCACAGGGCACACAGTTTTGAGGATCATGCAAGGACTCCTCTTGCTCCTGGGTCCTGGGGCCGTGAGGTTAAAGAACGTGGAAGGGGCTACCTTTCTCCTTATTTCTTAAGTTCTAAGAAACTCCAAGCATCTGAATTTAGCAAGAGCGCTAAGCCTGAGGGAGAGCCTGGGAAGGTCCCTGGGCTGGGGCTGTTTTTCCTGGTGCTGGGGAGGAGATGCCACACAACTGAGGGATTCTTGTGGCTCCGGGAGAATCTGCCCCGAAGGGGGAAATTACCGAAGCAGAACCAGATCTGCTCTGGGGTCTTCATCCCTGTTATTTCAGAGGAGCTGCCTGTGGTCCACCTGAGCCTGGGAGTCCCTCCCCTCTGACGTTCTCGAGCAATTCTCTCCTCTCTGGGCCCACATCCATCTTCAACTCCTGCCCCATTTATCTGATCCTCTTACAGCCAAACTCCTGAAGAGCTGTCTCCATTCGCTGTCTCTTCTTCCTCTCCTCCTTGACCCCACCACTCCACTGGAGCAGCTCTTGACGGTGTCACCAGGGACCTCCAAATTGTCAACCCATGGGTGTAGTCCATCCTCATTTCAGTAGGACTATGTCTAGACTGGGTCTTTCTTCTGAATTCCAGACTTGTATGTCCAAGTGCCTCACATTGCCACTGTGATGTCTATTTGGCATTGCAAACTTAATGTTCCAAACTGAACGCATCTTCCTGCAGCACAGCTGATGCGGGCAAACACCTTAGCTTTAGCTCTCTCTTCTCATACCCCCAAACCAAACCATCTGCAAATGTTAGTTTACCTTCAAAATAACCCCAGAGTCTCACCACCTCCACTGCTTTCACTCTGGTCTGAGCCACCATCATCTCCCCCTTTCCTCCATACTGTCTACGGTCAACACCGCAGCCAGAAAGATTCTATTAAAATATATTCAGACCATGTCACATGGCTCCCATCGCATTCACTAGGCCTTCTACGATGGAGGGACAGGCCTCCTTACCTCTCTCCAAAACCTCCTCTCACTGCTCCAGCTACACTGGTCTCCTGACTTCCTCAAACACACCAGGCAAATTCTTGCCTCAGGGCCTTTGCTCCTGCTGTTCCCCATGCGTGGTATGCCTTGCCTCCTAATATCTTCAGCGTTTGCTCCCTTCCCTTTAGGTCTTTATTCAGACATTACCATCTCACCAAGGCCTTTCCTGACCATTTGATGTAAGATTTCAACCCTCTCTGGCACACCCTATGACTCTTCTCTACTCTATTTTCCCTCGTGGTATTTTACTTAGTTCTTTACTGCCTGTCTTCTTGACTACAATGTAAACTCCATTAGGTCAGGGATTAAAAACATTTTTTTATGATGTATTCTCTGTGCCTAAAACAGTACTTAGCACAAATACAGGCAGGTTCAAGGAAGAAATGAATGAGAGCAGGTTGGTACTGGGTAGAAGGTAATGCCCAAGCGAGGGGAATGAAGTATCTATGGGGGTGATCCTTAGGCCTACCTCCAAAGGAATATTTACCTGAGTCAGGGTGTGGAGTCTAGTTTCAGAGGTATTTAGCTAGAAAAGGGAATATTTACTCAATAAGTAAGACCTGCCCCAATCTAGCAATATTGTACTCACCTGAAGAGATGTGTATACCAGTCAAAGAGATATTGACCCAACTGCTGGGGTGGGGAAAATCTTTTTCAACCCAGGGTGGGGACATTACCCTCAACCCGAAAAGTATTTACCTGGGTATAAGATCTGCCACAGTCTGGGAAGTAATTAAGCCGGTAGCGGTGACTGGTCTACTGTGTATGTATGCAAATGGACAGGTTTGCCTCAGCCTGGGATTAAGGACCCACGGTGTGTTTGTGGGAGACGGAGAAGGAATCCAGTCAAAGGCGATATTTACTCTGGTGAGATTTTACCTATTCTAAAGTATTCATTCTTTTTAAATTACTTTTTATCTCGTATAATTTTTTTCTTCCTCCCCAAAGCCCCGGTACATAGTTGTATATCCTAGCCGTAAGTCCTCCTAGTTCTTCTATGTGGGATCCGCCACAGCTTGGCTTGATGAGCGGTGTATAGGTCCCGCCCTGGATCCGAATCTACGAACCCGGTCTGCCGAAGGGGAACGCGCGAACTTAACCACTCAGCCACCGGCCGGCCCCTAAAGTATTCACTCTTACGGAAAGCTCTGCCCCTCTCTCATTCTGAGAAGTATTTACCAGGGTGGAGATATCTTTTTCCTTCTAGTCAGGAGATATATGTAACCTGGCGTACCTAGTAGTGTCCACTCAGGCAAGAAATTCTGTGCTAGTCCAACAGTGACATGTGCCACGTAGCACAGGAGGGGGTGGGCACTCCTTTGCAAGGACACTGCAGCCGCGCCCCAAAACAACTATGACCTGAGGGAACGTGGCCCAGGCAGTATTTACTTGGGTTACGTTCTTACCTTGCAGGAAAGAAGCAGAACCATCCGGCCGGGACAGTAGGTTCTGTTCGCAAGCAAAGTGCCGGAGGCTGCAGCCGGGGCCCCGAGGGCTGGATTCTGTTCCAGACTCACCGCGAATCTTGGCGTCAGACCGCATCGCACCCTCCATGACTCCGGATCCCACGTGTAGCAGCGACCACCGCTTCCGCCCGAAAGCGCGCGCTTGCGTGTTGGCTGCGTATTGAGTGCGCATGTGCACATCCCGGAGTGCCCGCCCCTAGCTTCAGCGCCCGCACGAGGCTCCGCGTTTATTGACAACCTGGCCCCGCCCACCATGCCTTCTCAACTTCAGGAAAACCATTGGACGGCATCGAAGGGGGGGCGGGCCTTAGCTTGGGCTCGTCCTACCCGAGGTCCACGGGCCCTAAAGCACTGAGACTCGGGTGAGGTTGTCCTCTTCTTTGCCTGTTTACCTGTTACAGAAACAACTACGATGAAGCGATCAGAGTAGATTTTGGGAAGCCAGATTGTTTTATCCATCCGTCTATGTGTCCTAGCGACCGTAGGACTGGTAGCAGGCGGTGTGTTGGCAGGGCCGTCCTGGCGTTTGAGTCACACTTATGAAGGGGCAGCCCCCGTTGTCGCCGAGGAGGGGGGCGGATCTTAGAGGGGTTGTTAGCTAACATGGCGGTGGTGACAGCTGCGGCGAGAGTCCTGGGATCAAGTAGAGGCCTGGGCCAGGATGGCCTACTGCTCTTGCGGCGGCTTGGGGTTCGGGGGCTGGCTATATCTGTGAGTACCTGGGGCACCTGGAGTTTTCCACAAGGGGGAATGGGGTGCCATCGCTGTCTTGAGAGTGTGGGGTACGTGCAGGGAGTGAAGGCAGGGCTGTCACAGAAGGGACAGGGGCTGGGAAAACCACTCGGAGAGGACACACCAGGGAAGCACTTCCACTTCTTTTGGAGAGGAAAAACAGGCAGCTCATTTGTGGGTCCCGAGGGAGGGAGACAACTTGGAGGGAGGGAGGAGGTTTCCTCCTTGGTTGCCCGTCCATCCCCCGGGGAGGCCGCTTGGAGGGACCTGGGAGGAAGGCGAGACCTTTCTGCTCAGGGCTTGGAGAGTGAAAGGGGAAGACGTTTTGCTCGGTAAAAATCTCTTCTTCAAACGGAAGAAAAGAGAGACCAGGTTCCCCCTTCACGGGCTTTGGCAGTGCCCTGTATTTCTTTGCTCCTTTGCTGCAGTTCTCATTATAAAACGAATTGCAGAAAAATATCGTTTGATCCTGTGTCCCCTGATGAATGCCAGGGTACGGGCCTTGTCTGTTTTGGTCACTCTACAGACGAGATGATCAGTAAACATTTGTTGAATTAATAAGGCGAGAGAGGTCCAGACAGGGCACTTTGCCCACATTTCTTAGAAACGCTTGAGAAATGCCTGGTTTCTTGTCAAAAGGGTTAGAATCCCTTTAGGTTGATGCTGCTAACGGGAGGCTCACCCAACAGAAATCTAGTTGGAAGCCTCTGTTTAGAGGGAGAGAGGCAGTCGGCTGCTGAAGAGCTATGAACTAAAATTTCACAGCTGAGAGAAAAGTGGTTCAGAAGGTGGGTTCTGAAGCTAGGCTTCGTGGGTTCATATCCCTAATTGGCCACTTTCCAGCTGTGTAGCCTTGGGCAAGGGACTGCTCTCTCTGCACCTAATTTCCTCCTCTGTAAAATGGTAACAGTGGCCACCTCATAGGGTTGTTGTGAAAATTAAATAAAGTGCCAGGAACTGGATCTGGCATATGATAAAAGATATAGGAACATTAGCCACTATTGAAAGTGAGGGTGGAGGGAAGGGACAGAAATTCACCTTCAAGATGTGGAGAAGAAAGGCGGTGACTTTGTGGGGGCCGGGATTGGTGACGGCCCTGGAGGGAAATCTGTCAAGATCTTGTGGGGTTGGATCTGACACTCTGATCCCCAATTTATAAGGAAGGGAAGATAGAATCTGTGGGAAGAAGCCCTAGGCAGGGGGAGCGACAGGGGAGGAAGGTGAAGAGGATGGGCCAGGAGTGAGGTCTGGGAGGAGCTTGCTGGTTGCAGCAGGTTGCTGAGGGAGGAGCCAGGTGGGGCAGTGTCCTGCCTTTTTGTTGTCTTCTCTCCCTTTTTTTGGAGCAATCAGATCCTCTACAGCTAATCTCAGTCCTAGGAGCCCATTGGTTGTGCCAGTGGGGTGGAGGGGACTGGGGTGGGAATCTGGAAAGGTCATTTATGGCTGGCCTCCAGGCTCAGTCTCCTTGCTGCCCTTCTCTCTTGGCTCCCCTCCTTCATTTTTTGGGGGTGGGAATGGTGGGAGGAGGAGGTCTTTCAGAATCCCTACTTTTTATTTCTATATATTTTTAATTTATTAGAGTCCTTGTTTTTTCTTCCTTACTTTTATTTCTCCCACTTATTCTTTCTAAGATTAAAAGGATACTTCCCCCCAGTACGTAGTTGTATATTTTAGTTATAGGTCCTTTTAGTTGTGGCATGTGAGACTCCGCCTCAGCATGGCCTGGCAAGTGGTGCCATGTCCGTGCCTAGGATCTGAATCAGTGAAACCTTGGGCCACCAAAGTGGAGCATGTGAACTTAACCATTTGGCCACGGGGCCGGCCCCAAAAAATGACACTTTTTTTGGTGTGGAGGGAGGGCGTAGTATCATTTAGTCGAAGAATATTTTAGACCAGAGCTGTTTGGTGGAACTTTGTGCAATGATGGAAATGTTCTTTATCTGCGCTGCCCAGTCCAGTAGCTACTGAGCGCTCGACCTGTGGCTTGTGCCACTGAGGAACTGAAGTTTTTATTTTACTTAATTTTAAGGAATTTCAATTTAAATAACTGGGGCCGGCCCGGTGGAGCAGCAGTTAAGTTCGCACGTTCCGCTTCGGCGGCCCGGCGTTCGCCAGTTCAGATCCCGCGTGTGGACATGGCACCACTTGGCAAGCCATGCTGTGGTAGGCGTCCCACATATAAAGTAGAGGAAGATGGGCACGGATGTTAGCTCGGGGCCAGTCTTCCTCAGCAAAAGGAGGAGGATTGGCAGCAGATGTTAGCTCAGGGCTGATCTTCCTCAAAAAAATAAAAATAAATTTAAATAACCGTAAGTGGCTTGTGGCTGCCATATTGGTTGGTGCAGTGTTAGCCAGTCAAGGTGAAGCCAAGAGATAGTGCCTTGGGGGAAGGTCAGGAGGCTGTCCTGTAGTGGGACAAGATTGGGTTGTCGGTTGGGAGGAAGGATAGGCTGCCTTACTTCTTCCCTGCCTGCTTGCTCCTCTTTTCCCCAGGCCGTTTACTGAACACCATGATGCCCTGGAGGCATTTGCCTGATTTCGCCCTCCCTCCCGCTCCAGTTGCTAGCAGATGTTTTAGTGCGCAGGGAGAAGAGAAGGAAGGAAACTCGATTGTCAAGCAGTCTTCATTGGGTTTCTCAGCTACCACCCCAAGAAGCAAGTGGGGCCTCGCCTTAACTCCCCCTTCTCCAGGAAGCTTGTCCTTATGCTCCACCAGATGCTGGCTAGTGAAAGGTTCCTCCGAGAGCTGCAGCAGATGCCTTAGACCTGTCTCACCAAAAGCTTGTCAAGTAGAAATTCTTATTTTTTTCACAAGGGGATGCAGGTTTATGGGGACTGTCTCCTGCCCAGGTGACATAGCTGGATGCGGACAGAGCTAGGATTTAAACACACCCAGTTTAGCTCTGGAGTCCCTCATCCTACCCTGCCCTGTGGTTAACCACTGAACTATCCTGCCTCCTCTGAGATCACCCCTCTTAATTGTAACTTGTGTGTTCAGTGTTTGTCATCCATCCCTTCCTGTTGTCTCCGGTCCTCAGTTAAGGGCCTGATTTGGAGCAAATATTCAGTATCTAGCTGTTTGACAACAATAATTGTCAAATACACTTGTTAGCTACTCGTATTTATCAAGCATTTATGTGCCAGGCACTGGACTGAGCACTGTATACATATCAACTCGATTAATCTTCATGACCGCCAGTGAGATAGGTACTCACACCACCCTCAGTTTACACACGAGGAAACTGAGGCTCAGTCAGCTTTAGTCACACAGCCAGGGGGCAGCGGTCTGTTGGGAGTCTGTGCCCTTAGCCTTGGCTCCACAGGGAGTCGCTCTACGAGAGGCCATGCCACTACCTGCTGGGCAGACCGGACCACCCAGAGCAGGCCTCTCTGTTTCCTGTGTGGTGGGAGAGGATGTGGCTTCATGCTTTGTGTAAATCTGTACAGCTTCTGCCCTTGTAAGTCACTGGCCACTGGGACAAATGCACCTTCCCACCAGAAACAAGAAAAGATAGGTGAAGTCGCATCCTTCCTCTGCCGGCATTTTACCACTCACCCTTAATGGAGTGTTTCCTCAGGGCCCCAGCTCATTGAATCAGCACAGTAACCCTGGGCTAGGTACCATGGGCATCGCTATAGGCCCAGGAAAGAAGGGGCACGGCCAAGGCCCAACTACAGTGTGTGGGATGTGCCAAGGTGCTCTGATGGTAACTCTCTAGCCTCCAGAGGCAGGATCCTGCCCTGATACCTGGTTGGTTCTGAGCCCTGTGACCGTGTCCTGACTCCTGCTGGTCCCTGGCCTACCCTCCTAGAGCCCCTCCCCAGACTGCAGCTCTTGTCCTGTTCTGCCGAGGTCTCCCCAGGCCTCAGTCTCCCCCTGGAGTGTCTGCTGGGGCCATGGTCTGAAAGTACAATCCAGAGCATGGGACAGTCATTCCTTCTTCCTAATCCTCTTTTTCCTTCTTCCTCCTGAGGTGCCGGGCATGTTTCTTTTTCTTGTTTCCGAACATTCCTAGATTTTACTTTTTTTCCCCTTCTACCAGTTTTTGAGCAGACAATATGTCCCATGCCTGTGCTGAACCCTCTGTGTCCCTTGTCTTACGAACTTTTCACGGCAGCCCTCTGCAGCCTTTTTGCAGATGAGGACATTCTGGGAGACAAAGTGTTTTGCAGAAGGCCATGCAGTGAGCTAAGAAACTGGAACCCAGGTCAGTCGGACTCCAAAGCTGTGAACTTCACCCCTCATCCATCCGTTTGTTCAGTAATTGCCTGTTGAGTGACCACTCTGTAAAGCGGCCTGGGCATGATCCCTGTCTTCCTGGAGCTTGTGATATGCGTGGGAGACAGACATGGACAAACGAATCCTCTAGGTGGATGGAGAGGTCTGCCCATGTGAGCGTGCAGAAGGGAGAATCCTGCTCTATAAAAGTTTGCTGCTTCCCTCACAGGCAGAGGGGAGTCTGCTGTGATGGTGTCAGGCCTGGGCCTGCCCTGCCATTGGGGCTGTAATTTCCTTTATTTCTTCACAACCACAAATGCAGATAAACGTGTCCGTCTAGCTCCTCCCCCGCTGGAACCTTGAACGGCTACTTCACTGCAATTAAAGGTGGGAGGGAGGGGAACACACTTGAGCACACACATGTGAAACCCAGCTCATGGCAAACCTGGTCATTTTCCTTTAGCTCCTATGGGAAGTGAAGCCACAATTACTGAGCTAAGAGCAGTGTGGTGACTGGTGAGGAGTAAAGATGTAGACGTGTGAAGACGGGACCAGCAGTGGCAGTTGGGGTTAGGAGCATGGGTTTGGGGTCTAGATGTCAGCTCTGTCCAGATTTGAAGCCCAGTCCTGACTTAATTGTTTCTTTTTAGCTCTGTGACCTGGTGCACGTTACTTTACCTCCCTGAACCTCAGTTTTGTTATCTACTCAAAGGCAGTATTTAAGAGTGTCTGTCTCACAGACATGCTCTGAGGACGCAGTCCGACTGTGCATGCCGAGCTCAGCCTGACACTGATTCAGGCACGTGCTGAATCAAGGGGAGCTGTTGCAGTCCTGAGGCCAGTTCAAGTTTAGTTCAAGGGCAAGAAAGCAAATCCGTTCACATCCTATTGTGCACGTAGGCTTCTCTTGGACTTTCCCAGCCAAGCCTCCTCTGATCCAAGGAGGTGTGAGCTCCCCACAGGACTCCTCCAGCCACTCTGATCTCCTTCCAGGTTCCACAAGAGACACACCTTTTGCCTTTTGTATGTTCTGTTCCCCTGGCTTCAAATGTTCTTTCCCTGACTCTTAGATGTCCTTTAGGCCTCAGCTATCACATCACTTCCTCAGAGAAGCCTGACCCTCTTTCCGCTCTTCCATGGCTTCTCCCAGGAGAATATGGATCACCTTCATCGGTACCTGTTCAACATCTGTCTTGCCTGCTGCATCTCTTAGGTCCCCAGATCTCAGCACAGGGCTTGGAACGAAGCAGGTACTCAAATATTTGTTGAGCAAGTCAGTCTGGGTTGGTGGAGGGAGTTAGAACTGCAGTGGAGAGGGCATTGAAGTGTGTGGAGCATTTGCCAGGTGATGGGGGAAGAGGCGTTCTAGTAAAGAGGTGAGAGCAGGGACATGATGGGAGAAATAATAATCAACATTTTTTTGACCATTTACTATACGACTCACAAGTACTCTGCTAGCCATTTTATATGCCTGATCTCGTTTAAGCCTCACAAAATTCCCATGAGGTGTTCTCTGTTCTACAGATGAGAAAGGAGAGACTTGGAGAAGGGAAGTCGCTTTCTGTGGTCAGCCAGCAAGGGGTTCGAATCCAGGCAGACTGACCCTTAAGAGCTCACAGACTTAATCTCTATTCTGGGTGGCCTCTGTGGTAGGTATGGGGTCAGTAAAGAGCCCATCTGGCTGACTCAAGGACACTGTGCAGAGGTGACTGTGGCACCAGTAGGAGATTGAGAGAGAGGGTGTCTGTGGCCAGACTGAGGAGGCCCTGAATGCCAGGGTGAAGAGTTTGAGTCTTTGATAAAAACAGCTACCAGTTCTTGAGCTACTTGCCACTTTATTGAGTCATTTAATCTTTATAATCCTGTGGGATAGGTACTATTATTTTCACCCCAATTTTACAGATGAGGACTTGAGATGCAAAGAAGTTCTAGTAACTTTACCAAGGTCACACAACGAGCAAGTGGGGGAGCTGGGATTCAAATCGTGTTTGTCAGGCCCAAGAGTCCACTGGGGCTGTGGTGTCTTAACCATCAGGCAATACTGCCTGCCACTGTGGGGTTGAGCCAGTGGAACCTCTGCTGCTCAGGATGCATGTGTCTCCCCCTCCCCCTGCCCTGTCTCCCCAGCACCCCCAGAGGCAGCAGCAGCGCTTCTCGTCCTTGGATGACAAGCCCCAGTTCCCAGGGGCCTCAGCGGAGTTTATAGACAAGCTAGAGTTCATCCAGCCTAATGTCATCTCTGGGATCCCCATCTACCGCGTCATGGACCGGCAGGGCCAGATCATCAACCCCAGCGAGGACCCCAATGTGAGAGGCTTCCCCCAACCGCCCCTGCCTCCCATGCTCAGGTCCTTTGTCCATGTCCCTTCTGGTCCCAGCTGCCCCACGTCTCTCTGTGCCTCCATCTGCAGCTGCCCCAGGAGAAGGTGCTCAAGTTCTACAAGAGCATGACACTGCTCAACACCATGGACCGCATCCTCTACGAGTCCCAGCGGCAGGTGCGTGAGGACAGGCTTGCGGGGAGGAGGATGGGGGTCTTGGAATTACCTGAAGTCCCCTTACCTGTGTTTGGGCCAAAAATCAGCTCCTAAGGTGGAGAGAGTAGAATGGAGATCCTTTGTCTTGGGGTCCTTAGAGTTCTTGGGGCTCCGGAGGAAGAGTGTGGGAGCGGTCCTGCCCACAGGCAGAAGGATGGACTAGATCACTAAAACACCTACTGTGTGCTAGGCTGGGGGCTTAGCTGTGCTGGGAGAGGGCAGGCTGGGGAAGACCTGTTGGCTCTTCCTCTCAGAAGACAGGGTGACCCTTGGGGCTTCCCAGAGTGCCCATGTCAAATGTACTGTGATCCTCAGCAGTGTTAGCATCAGCGTACAGAGACCGAGTCAAAGCAGTGTCAACAGAGGGAATTTGTTGACTCAAATAACACCAAGTTCACAGGGGCCTGTTTCAGGCACAGCTGGATTCAGGGGGCTCAAAAGATGTCATCAGACCTCTTTTCTCTCTCCAAGTGTCTTTTCTCCTCTTGTTTGCTTGGCTTCCTTCATTCATAAGTAGCAGTGTTTTCAAGAAGCTCTGGGCTCCTGGAGAGGCGGCAGAGAAAGGGCTCAGGGCACAGGCTCCGGAGCAAGACTGTGTGATTAAAGTCCTCACTCTGCTCCTTTCTGGCTCTGCAGCCTTGGGAAAGCTGCTTAACTTCTCAGTGCCTCTGCTTTCTTGTCTGTACCTGCTTCATGAGATTGCTCAAGGATTGATGGTGGCATATGTAATGGCCTTAAGAACAGTGAAACTGGGATTAGCCAGCACACAATGAGTACTAGCTATTACTCAACATGACCCTACCAGCCTTGCAATTATTATCCTTTCTACTTAGTGGTGGAAAGAGAAACTATTAGGTCTGGTTCCTGTTGTTCCAGCAAAAGGCCCAGGGCTGATGCTCAATGGCCAGGCTTTGGTCACAGACCCCACCTGAACCAGCCCCTGTGACTGGCCAGACCCGGGCCATGTGCCCATCTCCAGGAACCAAGGGAATAGAGGAGTGGAGTCTGTGACCCCAGGCCATGTAGACTGCGAGCAAGGGCGTGAGTTCCTGTTAGGAAAGGGGGAAGAGTGTCAAGCAGGCAGGCCCTCAGATGTTCACCACCCCTGCTGGCTTAGGAGGCGGGTGGCCTTGGGAATCTGCATTTGTATCAAGCCCCCAGGTGCTCCCATGTGGACCCCATGTGGACTAAAGCGTGAGGCCCCCTGGCCTAGCAGATAATACTGAGCAGATTCAGGCAAACAGCTTGTAGGAATGCTCTGTCTCACCTTCCCAAGTTAGGGTTGTGTCTCCACTCTGCCCAGAAACTTCCCTTGGCTGCCACTGTCCTCAGGATCAACTCCACCCCTTCCTGTCCACCCCATCTCCCATTCCAGGTGGCCTCAGCAATCCACTTCCCTCCCCACAGCCTCAACACCAGGCCAGGCCTCTCCCACCCTCTCTCCACGTGCCTACGCTTGTTCCTGCCCCTGCACTGGCATTACCAGTGGGCTTTGGAATCAGATGGACATGGGTCCAATCACAGTGGTGACCTTGGGCAGATGATTTTTTTGTCTCTGTCTCAGTTTCCTAAGTGTATTGAAAAAAATGGGGATAATAAGAGAACCCACCCTACTGGGTCGAGGGAGGAATTCTGTGAGACCCAGCATGGAAAGTCCCTGGCCCATTGGCTGACACAGAGGAAGCCCTCAATAAGATCAACTCATCCATCAAAGTTCAGCCTACGTTAGCTAGGATTATGTTTAGCTGTATGTAACAGACCTACCCTCCCCCCCAAAACCCCCCACAAATCCCAACAAAAATAAAAGCAGTAACCTAAACAGAGTAACGGTTTTTTTTCTTGCCTAAGAGAAATGTGGAAACAGGTGGTCTGGGGCTGGTATGGTGGCACCATGATGTCACTGGATACCCAGCGTTGGCTTCTAGCCTTGAGGGCCCCTAATGAGCCAAATGGCTGCTCGAGCACCCTCCATCCCATCTCATTCCAGGCAGGAAGCAGAGGGAATGTGGAAGGTCAGGTGTGACACATCCCAGTTATTTCCCCAAACCCACCTTTATAGAACTTTCCAGGCGCTCCCACCCAATAACACCTGCTCACATTTCATTGGTCACTCCTAGCTGTAAGGAGACTGAGAAATGCGGTCTTTTAGTCTGGGCAGTTGCTGCCTGTGGTAGAATGAGGGCTCTGTAAGCAAAGAGGAAGGGGGAGAGGATACTGGGTAGGCAACCAGTGACTTCTGCCGCTAGTCCAGGTGCTGGTTCCTGAGCGTGCCCCTCTCAGGCTCCTCCCCACACCAACCTTACAGCGTGCCAGGCCCTCAGCACCCAGCATCTGCCCACTCACTTGGCACTGGAAGGTCAATTAACTTTTAATTGGCTCCCCACCTAGAAGAAAGCATTATTCATCTGGTTCCCCCACCGTGACAGAAAGCCAGGCCTGCAGAACACATGAGGAGGCAGAGGGTGTCCCACAGGTGCCAGCCTGGGCTCTGTGTTTCACTTCACACACAGTCCTGGGGAGCTCATTTCCATCTCTATGCCAGGGTCTCCCCAAATCTCCAGCTAGACTTTGTCTGTGAACCCCAAATCTGCTTGGCTTCTCACCCTGCGTGTCCCACACCAAATTCACCCTGTCCGGTCTTGACCTTGGCATCTTCCTCCCAGACCTGCTCCTCTTCCTCCTTTAGGCCATTTCTCAGCAAAGGGTGCCACCATCCACCCGTCTGCCCCAATTGGAGACATGCATCTCATCCATGCCTTCTCCCTCCCCCTTCCTATCACTTTGTTCCCTCTCATTTACTCTGTCCCAAGATATTTAGTTAGAAATCCATTCTGCTGCTCAGCAACACCATTAGGACCCAGACTCCCTATCTTTTGCTTCACTGTCATGGGCAAGTTGGTTTCATCCTATGCCTGTTGCCTCATGTTCACAAGATGGCTGCCACAGGTCCAGGCTTCATAGCTATGTGTAGGGCAGGAAGAAGGGCTGGCACCAGCTGTAGTGGTCTCTTAGTAAGAAAGCAAAAGCAGACTTTAACTTAAGTCTCTGACTAGAATTGTGTCCCGTGGCTGCCTTTGGCTGTAAGGGAGGCTGGGAACCTAATGTTTAGCTTTTCCAGGTTCTGGGGTTGGGGGTGCTCAGAAGGGATTGGCCTGGGCACCCGTGTAGCCAGCCAGCAGGGTCTGCCACTCCCTGACATTACTGTCTCTGCTTCTTAAGACTCTTAACTGTCCTCTTCTCTCCCTGCCTCCCACCACTAGCCAAGCCTAGTCGTTACCCCCTCACCTGGCTTGTTGCACGTACTCCTGTCTCCTCCATTCATTTCCCACATGGCAGCCTGAGAGACATTTCTGAAACATCGCTCCCCTGAGGAGAACCAGCTGCAGGTTGCCACCACTCTCAGGGTGAAATCTAGATGTATGATCCTCTGCTTTACCTGAGCACTGCCTCTCTCTCCCAGCTTATCTTTCCCCAGCCCTCCCACTTCATGTCCCAGCCCTTCTGGCCTTGTGGCCTTTAGTGTTCTCTCTGCCTGGAAACCTCCACCGCCCCTGCCTTTGCTCAGCTTTGGCATTTCTTCCCGATGCCCCTCCGTGGTGGGGCAGATACCTCCTCACAGCTCCCACCACACAGCCCTATCACTCTGGCTCTGACCAGTCTGGCAGTGCCTCCGAGAAGCAGGACCCCCAGTGTGGCCTGGCCTGGAGCTGGCCTTCAGGAAGTATCTGTTGACTGACTGAGTCATCAGAAGTTGGTCGGGATTTGGATGGTTCTTTCATTGCCCAGCATAACTGAGCCGAGGCCTCTGGGCCCCCTCCACCCCCAGGGCCGGATCTCCTTCTACATGACCAACTATGGCGAGGAGGGGACACACGTGGGGAGTGCAGCAGCCCTGGACAACACGGACCTGGTGTTTGGCCAGTACCGGGAGGCAGGTATGTCTGCCTATGGCCTGGCCCTGAGGAGCAGGTGCCAGATACCTGGGTCTGTGGTCTCCATTGAGGCAGGTCAGGCCCAATCCCCCTGGTGTGGTGGCAAGGCCCATATCAGTTATCCCGTGTGCTCTTCCAGAAGCGGCATGATGCCAAGGAGGTCTGAGGAGCTGAAGGAAGAACTTTCCGAGCAAGAAAGAGCCAAACCAAGGACAGGAGTCTGGAGGGGGTGCACTTCCCCTCTCAGGAGGCCAGGCAGTGTTGGGGCTGAGAGCCTGTGCTAACTGTTCCATGCTCTGCTGCATACTAGTTGTCAGATTTGGCCAAGTCACTTTCCTTTTCTGAGCCTCAGGTTTTTCATCTCCACAATAGAGGTTCTGATGGTGTTGCAGCCCCTGCCTGGTAAGGTTGCTGGAAGCATGCAGTGAGATCAGCCCTAGCTGTGAGTGTGGCATGCACTGTGGGCCCCTGTCCACACTGTTCAGGGCTCTCCTTGCCTCTCCAGGCTTCATGTCCCTCTGGGAGCAGAAGCAGATGGAGGGCTGGCAGGTCCCAGCCAGGGAGCTGGCTAACTTCTGAGAGAATGAGTGAGAGGAAGGAAGGATCAAAGACTAGGAATGAAGAGGATCGTGAGCATGAAGGAGTGACTGGAGTGAAGGAGTTAGCCTGGGCAGCTGTGAGTGGGGGGGGTTCCAGAGTGGTTGTTGGTCTGGGGGCCCTGCAAGGGAGCCACCCTATGGGGGTGCCAGGGAGGCAAAGCTTGACCCTTCCTCTTAGGTGCTGCCCGATTGTGGGCAAGTTGTCTAACTGCTCCTTGCCTCAGTTTTCTTATCTATCATGGGAGATGGAGAACCTCCCAAGACGATTGTTGAGGGGCTTCATGGGGCAGATGATGCAAAGCCTTTAGCAGAGGGCCTGGCATGGGGTAAGCACTCAGGAGAGGCGATGTGACTGGAGCCTCTCACCCTGGGACAGCTCGTCAGCAGGGAGGCAGGGCCTGGCTGGGCTGGCTGTCCAGGTTCCTCTTTGGACCAGCCTGGCATTCCAGTCTACTCTCTATCTGCTCCCCTCTCAGCTGCCCAAGAACCTTCTCCTCCTACATGCTGTAGGAGGACAGGCCCTGTGATATCTGTGGTTCAGCGTCATTAGCAAAGAAGATGAGATTTCCCCCGATACTCGGCCACAAGCCAGGCCCCAGCTAGATTTGCTGAGCAATTTCCACCTGTTTTTGCTGAAAGAGTCTCTCTGGTGCAGGCTCCAAACAGGGCCAGGTGAAGGTCCTGGGAATCCTAGGTGGCAGCTGGGCTCTCCACATAGGGCTGTTTGGGCCCCGGCTGGCTGCCCCCGCAGGAGTGAGCCCTCCTGCACTGAGGGTCGGTAGAAGGCCCTGCGTCTGGGCAGCTGCAGAGGGTGCTCGTGCAGAGTGAGGACATGAGTCAGACCCCACACCCCAGCCCTGACTGAGCAGCCACTCACCTCGCTGACTCTCGGTCTCCCACCTGTGGCATAGGGAGAACAGGGGTGCTCAGAACAATAGCTAGCACTCACAGAGCTCTTGAACACCAAGATGCTGTTCTCAGTGCTGGAAGCAGTGGAGGCTCTGTCTTTCACCTTGCAGCAGAGCTGAGGTCCCTCCCCAGGGTCCCACCAGATGGTGCTGCTTCGGGGAACCCCCCACCAGCCATATGAGGGGGACATCACGGTTGCCTGTCAGAGCCAGGTGGTAGAAAGCTGAGTCAGAGAGCTGCAGCCATGGGGTTCCCTTTGATGGTGAGGTAGGCATCCACTGGAGGTTTTGTGTGAAGAAAGGGTTTTAGTGCCATAAACAGGTTTGAATATTTCCTCTCTAGTCCGCAAGTTGTGAGCTAGTGGCTTGTACTTTTATTTGGTTCATATGATGATTTTGTGAGTAATTTAATTAGTTGAAACATTTAAAAATCATAAAAAAAAAAAAGCAAGCTAGATTTCTGCCTTTTTTTTGAAAAACTGGACCTTCTGGCCTCCCTGGGCGCAGTCATTTGGTCCGAACAGCATTCTCCCTGGTCCCTGTAAGCATCCGGATTTGCCTCCCTTGCTCTAGTCCAGCTCCCTTAGTGTACAGACAGGGGAACGGGAGCCCGGGCAGGAAGGGTGTTACCCCAAGAGCCCCTCGGGGTTGGTCTGCCCCACGGCACCTCCTACCAGGCTAACTGCTGCCTCCTCCCTACCCAGGTGTGCTGATGTATCGGGACTACCCCCTGGAACTGTTCATGGCCCAGTGCTACGGCAACGTGAGTGACCTGGGCAAGGGGCGCCAGATGCCCGTCCACTATGGCTGCAAGGAGCGCCACTTTGTCACCATCTCCTCTCCACTGGCCACGCAGATCCCTCAGGGTGAGGATGCACACCCTGGGCCTGGTTCGTGCACACCAGTGTAGTACCCCTGTGCTAGCCCCAGCCCTTCTCCATCCCTTCTGGGGAACTTCCTTGTTGGTGACACAGTCAAGAGTGCTGGTGCGTGCTCCAGACTTTTAAGACATCTCTTGTCTGGGACCCTTCAGAGGAGGGCTCTGGTGGTGTCCTTACCCGTTTGGCAGGCTTGAGCCGCTATGACCACACTCTTAATTTCCCACACTTGCACGCACCCCATTTGTCCACTCAGAGACACAGCCAACTGCATGTGACTGAGTGTGGACCAGGTTCCTTGCTAAAGGTCACTCGGCGGGTAGGGGGAAGAGCACGGACTCAAATCGTGGACTGGGTGGCTACAGAGTCTGGGTTCTTGACCCCGACCCTGCTCTGCCTCACCCTTGCAGTCCAAGTCCCCTGAAGCTTACTCTGGAAGCCCACAATGCTTAGAGCAGTCGGTGTGACCTCAATGAAAGGTGACTGCTTGGGAAGCAGACCGACCAGGGGCCAGGCCTGTGCCCACACAGCTCAGAGACCCTGGAACCAGACCTTCCTCCTTGCCCTCTGGTGCCTGCAGTTGGCTGAGGGTCAGTGTGGGCTTCAGCACCCTCTGCTCCTGGGCAGCCGAGAGCCATGAGTTGATGGTCAGAGTGCCTGGCACGGCGTTAGGCCCCGTGCATGTTCGCTCATTGTGTTCTGTTTGGAAACAAGGAGCAGTTCATGCCTCTGAGGTGGGAGGTGGACAGGGCATCTTTCTGAGAGGATGTGACATTTTCACTGAAGGTAGGTAGGATTTTTGTAAGGCGGGGCTCTGGCCCTAACCTTCCATTTGTGTGACCATTAAGTCACTCATTCAGCAAATGTCCAGTGTTGGTGCTGTGTGCTGGGTGCCATTCTAGGTGCAGTGAACCAAGAGACAAACAAAACCCAGCTCTGCTGGTGCTGCAAGATGCAGGCGTCAGATGGAGGAGTAACACACAGCGTATATCAGGGGTGATAAGTCCCACAGGGAAAATAAAGCAGCGAGGGACTGGTATGTCATGGGAGCAGGTGGGTGACATTGCAGTACAGATCAGGAGGTGAGGGAGCCATGCAGGGATCTTGAGGCAGGTACCTGCTTCATGTGTTTGAGGCGCAGGCGCAGGGAGGAGCCCAGTGGGGCAGGGGTGGAGGGTGGTGGAGAGAAGTCAGAGAGATGGGGGAGGGGTGCAGATCTGCTGATCTGGAGGCACTTTGACTTTTACCCAGAGTGGAATGGGAGTGGGGGAGGGGAGTCATCGCTGTGGACTGACTTGGCCTGACTCACATTTTAAGAGGCCTCTGGCTGCCAGGTTGGGGTGGGAGAGCAAGGGCCAGTGAGGAGGCTGCTCCGGAACTCAGGCAAGAGGGGCAAGAGGTGCCAGTGCGTGACCAGGGTGAGGTGGGGAGGGGTCAGGTTCTGGCTCTCATTTGTAGGTGGAGTAGTGGGGAATGACAGAAAGTTAGAAGTCAGAGATGATGCTGAAGATTTTGGCCTGGGCAGTTGGAAGACTGGCGTAGGGGTCGGAGGGCAGGTTCTGGGGGAATAGTCAGGAGGTCAGGCATTTTCTTCCCCCTCACAGCCTGGCAAAAGGCAGCCTGAGCCCCAGAGCCATGGGTTGGTGTGTGGGGTGCATGTGTGAGTGTGAGTGTGGGGTGAGTGTGTGAGGTGTGTATGTCTGTGTGTGGGGTGCCATGTGTGAGTGTGTGTGGGGTGTGTGTGGGGTGAATGAGTGTGGTGTGTGCGAGTGTGTGGGATGCATGTTGGTGTGAGCGTGCGCGTGTCTCTGCTCTTGCTCACCACCCTCTCACTCCCTGCAGCGGTGGGGGCGGCCTACGCGGCCAAGCGGGCCAATGCCAACAGGGTCGTCATCTGTTACTTTGGTGAGGGGGCGGCCAGTGAGGGAGATGCCCACGCCGGCTTCAACTTCGCCGCCACCCTCGAGTGCCCCATCATCTTCTTCTGCCGGAACAACGGCTATGCCATCTCCACACCCACTTCTGAGCAGTACCGCGGGGATGGCATCGGTATGGGCCCTGCCTGCTTTGTCTCCCCCCGGCACCCCCCCCACACCCCTGCCCTCTTCCTGTTCCCCTCCTGTGGTATCTGGCACAAGGTAGGTCTCAGGGACAGTGAACAGAGTGCTGCTCTGTTTGCTCTCCTCTCCTCACTTCCTGCTCTCCCCACTCCCTGCTCATCATCCTCATCTGAGCCCTGGGGCCTGACCTGCCTTCTCCCTGTCCCCACAGCGGCTCGAGGCCCCGGGTATGGCATCATGTCAATCCGCGTGGACGGCAATGATGTGTTTGCTGTGTACAACGCCACCAAGGAGGCCCGGCGGCGTGCCGTGGCAGAGAACCAGCCCTTCCTCATTGAGGCCATGACCTACAGGTGCCTGCCTCCCCCGGATCTCCCCCCAGCCTTGACAGCCAGAGTCTTTAACATCTCCCCCACATTGGTCACTCTCCCCAATGCATGACCCCATCGCCGCACATTGTGTTCCCTTCCTTGCCTTTATTCCATTTCCACCCCTTCTCCCCTAGTCTACCCTCTTCCCTCCCGACCACCCCTGAGGCCCCACTCTCATCCTGGGCCCCTTCTCCCTTGACAGGATCGGGCACCATAGCACCAGTGACGATAGCTCAGCGTACCGCTCTGTGGACGAGGTCAATTACTGGGACAAGCAGGACCACCCCATCTCGCGGCTGAGGCACTACCTGCAGAGCCGTGGCTGGTGGGATGATGAGCAGGAGAAGGACTGGAGGAAGCAGTCTCGTAAGAAGGTGAGGGCCTCCCTCTGGGAAACCAGTGCGCCAGGGGGTGTGTTCTGGGGTGCAGCGTTGTGGAGAACCCCAGAAGGATGGAAAGTCTGGAGCTTGGGGGACACTGAACTGGGAGACTTGGGGGTAACCCCAGTGATGTCTCTAAGTGGCCAGGCTGCCTGGGCACATGCCCCTCTGCCATATCCTAGCTCTGTGGCCGTGGCGCCGTGTCTGCCCTTTGCTCCCTTATCTCTGAAGAGGGGTACTGGGGTATCCATTTCAGAAGGTTGTGTGAGGATTAGGTGACTTAATCCATGTGCAGTGTAAGCACCCTGCGTGCAGTGTAAGAGTCAGCACTCTGCCCTCCTTGGCCCTGTCATAGCTGCAGGAAGTAGAGCCCAGTGGCAAAGGCAGACCCTGGCGTCAGGCAGATGGTGCGGCCCCTAATGACATCATCATGGGCACATCCCTTCTCTGTGCCTCGGTTTCCTCATTTCTAAGCTGCCTGCTTCCTAGGGCTGCTGAGAGACTGAAATTATTCTGTACACTTAGTACAGTGCCTAGTCCTGCTAAGGATGGAGAGGCCTAGGGTTTGGGGGACACCGATATGGGGTATTAGTTTCACCACAGTTATGATGATCATCCCCATTGTCCAGATGGGAACAAAGGCTTTGGGGTTAACCCTTTGCCGAGACCCCACAGGTAGGAGGCAGGGCCCTGGGTGAGAGGCTGACTGCTTGTTCACCATCCTGTGCCCCACAGGTGATGGAGGCCTTTGAGCAGGCTGAGCGGAAGCCGAAGCCCAACTTCAGCCTGCTCTTCTCAGATGTGTATCAGGAGATGCCCGCCCAGCTCCGCAAGCAGCAGGAGTCCCTGGCCCGTCACCTCCAGACCTATGGCGAGCACTACCCCCTGGACCACTTCGAGAAGTGAGGCTTGGGGCTGGCCCGGTGGTGCAGCGGTTAAGTTCGCACGTTCCGCTTTGGCGGCCTGGGGTTTGCCGGTTCGGATCCCTGGTGTGGACGTATGCGCTGCTTGTTAAGCCATGCTGTGGCAGGCATCCAACATATAAAGTAGAAGAAGATGGGCATGGATGTTAGCTCAGGACCAGTCTTCCTCAGCAAAAAAGAGGAGGATTGGCGGCAGATGTTAGCTCAGGGCTAATCTTCCTCAAAAAGAAAAAAAAAAAAAAGAGAAGTGAGGCCTGCTCACCTACCCCCACCCACCTCAGCTATGCTGAGAGGAAGTCCCATGCTGAGTGGTGGAGGGAGCTGACACAATGCAAGCCCCTTCTCCAGCCAGCTCCCTCCAAAATACTCAGGGGCCAGGGCAGTGCCTGAGACAGTAACAGGGAGTGGGTCCTGCTCACTGTCCCTGCTCCTCCAAGCTGTTACATTGGGGCGGGGGCTCTGTCAGCCCCCTCTTCATCTGTTGTTACAGTGCCTTCTCCCCGGGGCTGGGTGAGGACGCCTCCAGGACTGGAAGCCCACCCGGGCTGGGGGTGGGTGTGGCAGGTCAGCCTGTGGAACTTCCTCAGAGTGAGAGGCGGTCAGCAGGTAGTGAATAAACTGTCTCTGCATTTGGCTCTGTGCCACCTCCTGTCTCTGTTTCCTGGAGTTTTGGAGGTGAGGAGTCCAGAATGACTGGTTTCGGACCACTCCCTTTTTCTCCACTTTACATAAATGAGGCCAAGGCCATTGAAATATCTGTTTCCCTTAGAGACTTGCACGCTGGAGAGTAAGCTTCAGCAGACAGGATGGGGGTGGGAGTCCTCCACAGATGGTTTCCTGCTCTCCCATAGAACGGGGCAAGCCTGGTGTCCCGCTAGGTGACCAGTAGGCCGTTGGAGCTGGCCCTGCCCAGTCAGGGTGGGGAGGGTGTCTAGTGGGAAGGTCAGGGTGTGGCTGAACTCTGCTTTTTCCACTTCTCTGGGGCCCCACACATGCAAAGACAACTCGAGGCCTCAGAGTGGGGAGTGCATATTTTTCAAAAATACAAGTAGACAAAAACAGTCTGCCACCTCTTGCTGCCCAGTCCCCTGGCCTGAGGGTGCCCAGGAGGAACTCAAGCAGCATGATTCCAGGACCTCCTCCCTCATACCAAAGCCTAGAAGGAGAGGTTGAGGAAGCAGCAGGCACCGAGGACGCCCCAGGCCAGGAGGCTCAGCACTGGAGTTGAGGGTCCCGCAGGTGTTTCCAGAGCCGGATGCTGTCCTGGGGGCTGAGGGGCCGCACCAACAGCAGGTCTCGGAGAGTGCAGGGGTCAGCAGTGCGGTCTGCTGGCCAGGCTGTGAGGAAGCCTTTGTGGGCCCTGGGCACCAGGCCCAGGGCCTGGAAACACAGGCCAGTGTAGACATCGTCGAAGGGGAAGGGTGCCACACGGGCCGCCGCCTGCAGCAGCCAGGGTGCCAGGCGCCCAGCGATGACGTAGCCACCCCCACTTGCGTAGGCTGGGTAGCCACCTTCGAAGAAGGACCCAGGCACGTAGAAGGGTCCTCCAGGCTTCCGGAGGGGCTTAGCCTGGGTAAAGACCTCACCCAGGTAGAGGCCTCGGGCCCAAGTGGGTGGCAGGGCCCGCAGGTGGTCCAGCAGGGCAGGAGTGTGCACGAAGGCATCATCCTGAGCTTGTAGGACAAAGCTCACGCCAGGGCAGTGGTGGTCCAGCCAGGCCAGCAGTAGCAGGTCCTTGAGCGTCTGGTTGAAGGGGACATCCAGGAAGTCCCAGAGCAGCAGGTCGCTGTAGCGGTGGCTCTCCCAGGCCACCAAGGAGCCTAGGTCAGGCCCCCCGTCACCCACTGGAGACCCCAGCAGGAAGAGTAGCCGGATCCCGGGAGCTGGACCACCCCACGTCTCCCTCACAGCCTGCCTTTCTGCAAAATGCCCTGGTTCCGACTTGACAGCCAACAGCAGGTAGGGGGCATCTGTATCTGTGCAGCTGGCCACTTGGCCACTGCCACCTCCAGGCAGCCACTGTGGGAAGCTCCGGCAGGCTGCTGAGAGCAAGAAGCGGCGGAGGTCCTCAGGGTAGGAGGTGAAGTCGGGGATCTCGGCAGCAGCAGCAGCCCCCCAAGCCCGGCAGTCCCCAGCCTCAGCACTGTCCCCACTGGGCAGGGCCCCCAACCGCCACTGCTGCTGGTTCCAGTAAGCCGAGGGCAGTGGGCCAGTCTGACCCAGACGGGCTGAGAGATTAGCTGGCAGGGTAGGCTCGGGGCTGGCTGGAGTGGGGCCCTGTGGGGTGTCCCGGGGTCCTGGGTAGGCCTTGCTAAGCTGTGACTCGGATGTCCACTCGATGTACACTTTGAGGCCCAAGAGTGTGAGCAGTGCTGACAGGCAGAGAAGGCATTTGGGGCAGCGCATGACCTGGCCCAGGGAAGGGGCGGTTGCAGGAGCTGCAAAGAAGCCATGCAGGCCTTTGGGGTGTGGAGAGGGCCCCCACAGTCCCCTCCAACCCCTGTAATGGCTTCTCACACCCAGGCCCTAAACCAGCCCTCAGCCAAGGACCTAACTCTTCCCTGTTCCTGGACCTAGGAATCCTTCCTCTAATCCCTTTCCAACACCCTCCTCTTTCCACTCTCAGCCCAACTCCTTCCACCTTCCTAGAAACCCCGGAAGTCTACCTATTTCTCACTCCATCCCAGGCACCAGGGACTCCGCTATTCCAATCCCCTCCACCCCCCAATTCGTCCCCCTCAGGGACTCAGGATCACTGGGGTCAGCTCCTTCCACCTTTATAGAAACCTAGCCTCCCTCGCCCCAACAATCCCCACCCCAGGGCCCGGGGAAGCAGGGATCTGCTCCCTCCTCTTTACCTCTGGGTCCGGCTCCCGCCAGCTCCGACACCCCAGGGCCTCTGGTCCAGCCCTTCCTTGGTGCCCTCCCTTCTGTCCTAGTCCGTGCGGTGGTGGTGTCGTTGTTCTCCAGCCCAGCCCAAGCAGTCCAGAGGGGCGGGGAGGGGAGGGGAGCAGGAGGCTGGGAGGGCCCCAGGGGCTGGGAGGGGCTGGGGCGGGGCTGAGGGAGGAGGGGAGGGAGGATGGGAAGGAGGAGGAGGGCAGGAGGCAGACCTGAGAGATGGGGCTGTGGCGTGTTAGGGCTGGTTTTCTGGTGAGACAGTGGGAAAGGTGCAGGGGTGGCTGCAGAGACAGACGGGGTCCCAGAGAGACCTGGGAGGGGAGAACAGGGGCCTGGGAGAGAGTGAGGCTGAGGGCCAAGCCTGAGCTTGGCTGGGTAGTGTTGGAATGGCCCAGGGATGGGCAGAGTCCTAAAGGGGCAAAGCCTGGAGGCGAGGGGCTGGCTCCTGGCCGCAAGAGGAGGTGGCGGTGAATGTGCTGAGAGGGAATGGGTTGGTCCTGCCAGATATGGGGAGGAAGGGTGTTGTGGCTGCCCAGAGTCAGGGTGGGGGTGGTGCAGGGGGCTGGTGAGGTGGAGGAGAGACAGACATTGTAGAGAAGGACATACAGCCATGGAGACCTCAGGGGGAGGCAGGGAGAAGAGAGAGGAGAGACAAGAGAGGGAGACTTAGGGAGGCAAAGAGGAGAGAGTTACAAGAAGAGAGATGGAGAGGACAGGGAAGGTGGAGAGACGCAGGAGGAGAGGGAAGTGGAGAGAGTGAGCAAGAGATCAGGGGTGGCTGGGAAGCCCCCGTGGGGGAGGGAAGAGAGATCTGGAGAGACTGGTGGAGGACTGTGGCAGAGAGGAGGGAGTCTGCGAACAGAGAGCCACCCTCGGAGAGGTGGGGAAGGGAGCCAGGAAGGAGCCAGAGCGGATGAGATGGACGGGGAAGGGGTGGGTGGAGGGGGAGCCAAGCCAGAGGGCAATAGAGGGTGACAGAATGGTGGCCCTGGGAGCCCTCAGAGCTGAGCTAACCCCTGCGTCTCCATCCCCTTTGGTGTCTGGGCTGTCTGCCCAGCAGGACGGGAATCCGTCCCCACCCATCCCCCACTCCAGCTTGGGCTAGCCGCGCCCTGGGGCCCTGGCCCCGCCTACAGCTGCTCAGTGACTCTGGGAACACTCACATCCGGCCCCCTGGGATGAGAGGGTGTTTGCCTGTGTTTACACCCCTGCCCTCCCAGGCCTCTGCTGTTGAGGCTGCATTAGCTGTCTGGGGAGGCGGGCGGGTGTGGCCTCCTCATTCCAGACCTCCTGGAACCTGAGGTGGGACTCAGGGACCCCCCACTGAGGCCAAGCTGACCCCTTCACCCCACCTGGGGTTGGGGAGGGACTGTCCAGATTGTCTCAGGAACCCCATCTGTCAGCAGCAGCTGCTGATGATCTGTCGAGTGCCGAGATCCTCTGTCCCCGAGCACCCCAAGTTTGAATAATAGAGCCCATGGGACCAGCTGGGGGAAGAGTGCGGAGGAAGTGGTGCATGTGAATGGAATAAAAGCTAGAGGGACTAGGGCAGGGGCTTGAGCACCCCTGGAGGCTGGGGGTGGGGGTCAAGGCCCCTTGAGCGCTTCTGGTTCATCTCAGGTTCATGTCATCTAGGGGTGCAGAGGTTTTCGACCAGGGACAACAGTGCCTCTCGAGGGGAGGTTGGAAATCTCCGAGGGTACAGTTTCGGTTGCTGTGTGCATCATTCTGGGCCCAATCAGGAAGGAGAAACCACACAGCAATTGGAACAGGGTAATCTGAATATTGAGAATGATTCAAGAGGTGCCTTCTTGTGGAACCGAGGTGGGGGTGGATGTGTGGGTGGAACATGATCAGCCCAACCCCAAATTCCTGCCTCCCTAAGCCTTTGGATCCCCCTCTCCAGTTAACACCAGGGCAGTTCTGGCTTCTCGCCTCAGTAGCCCTAGGCCACTGCTGCGTCCAAGTTCCAGGCAGCCAACCAGGAAAGCTGTTAGAACCACTCCCGCTGCACTGGCTAACTTATTATAGCGACTCTCTAGTACGTGCCCTCGTACCAGTGAACTTGGTCCCATCTGGTATTCCATCTGCTCACCAGTCTAAGACCTTCAGAACCCACTCCTGCATGGGTCCCCAGGTCTCTGCCATACACATATTTGCAAGTCTTGTAATTTTTTCAGGGTTTAAGCTGTTCCCTCCTGGATCCTGGTGAGCACCTGTCCCTTGGAGCATGTTTAGATTTGACTCGAGGTATTTATGGGTCTAGTGACAGCAGGGGGTGCCTGTGATGAGTCTTAAGAATAGACACCCCCTTTCAGGGCATCTGCCTAGGTGAGGTCATCACAGGGTTTTCAAGCCCAGGAAGGCTGGTGGTCTCCTTAGATACTGGTAAGGGAGGCTCAGAGTGACTTGGGGGTTCGACATCATCTGTTTCCTCTGGGTCCAATCAGATGACCCCAGGCGATAGTTTGATTGTGATGCCACTGCCTGCTGTGGATTTCTGACATCCTTTCCCATTGCCAAGAAGCTCAGCGCAGTGCTCAAGCTAACGGCAGGACCATACCAAGCCCCAAATCCCACCTTTGTGAGTCTGTCTCATGGAACACTCCAAATGCCAATGCCGTATCCATATGGATCCAATCAGGAGAGAAAAAGCACATCGTAATTTGAGCAGGAAAAATTTAATGTAAAGAATTATTGACTTTAACAGCAAACTGAAATAACGAGGATTCACT